AATTAGGCATGAATTGAGCAACTGAGAACACAAAAGGTTGAGTAACTACTAATAGAGAGTAAATTAGGAAATGGATTACTTTTTTAAAAATGTATTATTTTTTGTGATATATTTTTCACTTTTTAAAACTATTATTATTTTTTTATGATATAGTTCCACAGGCTCTGGGATTTCCTGTCCAGGAAATAAATTTTAATAATTGTTCAGCATTACAGAAATACTCCCTTGGCTGTGAGTTACATGATGTAGCAGAGGAAAAGATGTTTCATTCAGTCATTCTTCTAATTACTTCTAACCTGAAATAGAGTAATTCTTTGGAGTGTTTTTTTTCTTTAAGAATATAAATCTGTAGAGAATTGTACATGCAATAATCAGAACCATGTACACTAACTCAATCCATCATTACATTTTAGTGCTTAAAGGCATAAATCACTGATTTGCATATAAGCTATCTCAATAGATGATCATGGCCCCAATTTTACAGAATCAACTCTGAATTCTCATATTCTGACTTTGTCACAGGTACAAAGCAGGGGTAAGGACTTTATTGTGTAGACTAACACAAATTAACTTCATATTTCAAAGATTAATAAAAAAGCAAATAAAAGTGAAGTGAGATAAGCACAGATATAGTACATGAAAGTGGAATGTACATACGTGAGCAGTAGAAAAGCTTCCAACTCTACCACTTACTTATATAACTTACTTACTTAAGAGCATTACATTAAATTCTTGGATCTTTAGTTGCACTAGTTGAAAAAGGAAATATGCTGTCTACTTCACAACAGCCTTGATTTAAAGTATGTGTTGTAAATATAAACACCAAACCACTTATGCAACATGTAAATGTTTATTCATTTAGAATGTCCTTGAAATAAATGCTCATATTTCAGTATAAATATTTTTCTTTTTAAACAATATTTATTGTTTTTAAGGTCAGAATTATAGGAGAGATTTTTCATCCATTGGTTCATTCACCAGATAGCCGCAGCAGCCAGCATTAGCTGAGACCAAAACCAGAAGCTTCTTCTTGGTTTGCTATAAGTGTGGCAATGATTCACACTTTTAGGCCACCCTCCATGGCTTTTCCCAGGCCATTAGCAGGGAGCTAGAGCAGCAAGGGAGCATCACAGAGAGCAGTAAGTGGTGTCACAGATGGCAGCTTCACCTGCTACGCGACAATGCTAGTCCTAGAAATATTTCTATGTTGGTAATGTAGGACAAGTATCATCTACTAAGACATACTTCAATAGTATAAAATCTAGGTAATTTTCACTAAGAGGGAAAATTATACCTCACTGAGGTTTGAGCTCATTTGGGATATATCAATTCATTTCCTATATTAAGGGAATTGGTTTTGCAAAATTACATTGACAATTATTTTTTGTTTGTTTATTTGCTTTTATTGGAAAGGAGGCAAACTACCGGAGAGGACAGACAGAGAGAAAGATATTCATCCACTGTTCATTCCCCAAGTGGCTGCAATGGATGGGGCTGAGCTGATTTGAAGCAGGGGGCACAGGAGTTTCTTCCAGGTCACCAACACGGCAGTATGAGTCCCAAGACTTTGGGCCATCCTACATGCTTTCTCAGGCCATAAACAGGAAGGTGGATGGGAAGGGGAGCAGCCAGGTCAGGAACCAGCACCCATATGGGATCCCTGCACTGGAAAGAGGAGGATAGGCCAATCGAGCCATTACATAGGGTCCCATTTATAAATTCTTAGGAACTAGAAGTTACATACACACATAATTGAGCATAGGTATGTGTCTGAAATACTCTTAATGTTTAGTTCCATCTATTTTTTATCTTGATTTCAAAAAGGAAGGAATCATTACTTGTTGTTCTCATAGTGACTCCCAAAATATAACTTAGTTGATATGCAGCTTGGATGTAAAGGAAATTCCCAGATTCCATCAGCATGTTACACCTTTACTTGACTAGCACCTAAAATTTTTTAGATTTTTATTTAATTTTTTTTTCAAAGAGAATGAATGAATGCACCATTATCTGGCTCACTCCCAAATTCCAAGAAGGGCTAAGGCTGTGCCAAAGCCAAAGCCAAGAGTGGAAAATTCAATGTAGGTCTTCCACACGGGTGGCAGAAGTGCTATTACTCAAGGCCTCAATGCTGTCTCACATGGCCTACATTCATCCTAGGATCTTCTGGAGTCAGCATACAGAGCCAGATATTGAACCCAGCATGCTGACACAGCACCTGAGCATTGTAACTGGCATCTTTACTGCTAAGCTAAACACCTGCTGCAAAACTTGCTGTACTGTTAAGTGTACCTTTAGAACCTAAGGCGGTTCTTATCTTTAAGCACTTAACAGAAGAAACAATATGTCTGGATTTTTCTAAAAGCAATCAAATCCTGGGGGAAAATACTTAAAGGTCCAAAATCGACACTTGTTTAAATAAAAATATATCAAAAGTCTGAGTACACTAACAATCTCCATACAAATATTTTTGGCATAATGGATTTACTATCATGAATATTTGAAAAAATCTGAATATCTACCGAATTTCATGTTACCTTCAAGCTATATAATACTATGCAACCATTGAAGATAATGAGGTTGACTCAACAAATATGTGACATACTTAAGAAACACGATAGATTAAAATGCCATTGTTGTTTTTAAAAACACATGTACCCACTTTGATCTTTAAAAATACCAAAATGTATGCCTTGCTATATACTGTAAAGTCATATTTTAATGTTTATTATCTCTCCTCTCACTAGTTCTTTTTCATGTCTACCTGCTCCTGTATTATGTCATCTATTTTTGGTTTATGAATATAAGATTATCTCTAACCTCTTCAAGGATTTTAATCACACATGTTATATATGGTTATATTTTCTAACAGATTTACTGTGAAGTATAAGTTCCATCTGCTCTTTCATGAACTGTTGTTCAAGTGTTCTATCATTTGTAAGCTAATCTTAAGCCTTGATACTCTCTGCTTTGCTGCCCATAACCCCCACTCGCATGGAAATATTCCTTATATTTCGGCTACAATGGAGAACAGGGAGCAGTTAGGAATCGTAGTTGGGAAAGGTGCTATCATCTGGTCTTGTGCTCTTGACTTCAGGCCCTAGAGAACTACTCAGGCTCAGAGAACGTAACCTTCATGTTGTTGCTGGGTTATTAGGAGGCGATAGCACAGATGAGCTTGCTAAACATGTCTACTTATTTTCACTGAAGCACCACAACTAAACGCTGTGTTGGCTGTTCTGTTATATTTTCAGCTTCTGGAACATTGGTTAGTGAGCACATTTGGTATTGGGCCAGTTCTTTTCTGATATTCTTCTTACACTGGCAGCCATACACTAATACTATCACCAGAAGAAGTGCCGACAATCCCAGAGCATTGAAAATCATAAGGATATGAGCCTTTTCTGTCCTTAAGGCATTTGAAAATCCCAGAGTTTCAAAAGGTGAAAAGCTAAAGAAGTTAAAAAGCAGCAATTATGAGGAAGATAGACACTTAGAGATTTAGGTAATTTTATACAATTGTGGGTGCAACAGTTGTGTTTCAGAGTTTGCCATAGAACTGTTTCTCAGATTTTTGCGTAATATCAAGTGAAGAGTCTGCCACAAAGAAGAACTGACAAAAAATATCAAGTATTTAACTGATAAATTATAATAACAACAAATGAATGCGAAAAGTACAATCTGGGAATAGAGGTGACAAAAGATCTAAAGAGACATTACACAAAGTGTGTGTGTGTGTGTGTGTGTGTGTGTGTGTGTGTGTGTGTGTACAGAGAGTTACACACACACACACATATTACATATATACATAGATCAATTCAATGAAAGTGGCCAAAGAGAGAGTAAGAGAGAAGGAACACAGAACCTGGTTATTGCTACAACTAAATTCTGCAGCATTATCATTTTCAAACACTGAGGACACATAATTTCATCCAGCAGAGTGCTGAATATCTAGGACTTTATTAAATTGGTTCCTTTCTAAAGTGTCTTTGCATCCCTTTTGCAAAGAATTTTCCTTTCAAGAACTTACTTGTCATCCATTTTTAATTGGAGTGAATTGGGGTTTATTCCTGCTCTAGGGTACAATATAGGCTGCTTTTGCAATAGTTAGGAAGCCACAATTTGATTTTTTAAAAGTGTAATCATACATTATTACTCAGGAGGTTCTAGAAATAGGGAGACAATTCAGGAGGCTGAAAACTGCCTGGATACAAGGATAAAACGACTGCAACGGAACAGTAATAGAAGTGGAACAATGAACACTTCCCTGAAATTTACCAAAAGGAAAGATTTTGCATCTATTTGAATACTTTTGAGCCTGGAAATAATACCACCTGGCTTGCCTTGAAAGAAAAGCTCCCCAATGAAGGTGCCCTATCCTCATCCATCACCATGCCTCAGTAGTTTATCTTACCATCCAGAGGCTTCCCTGCTGAGCCTTCACAGTTCCTTTCTGTGTTACTGTGTTTGAGTCTTTTGTGACACAACTATAAAGTGAATTCTTTCAGTCTGGCTTCAATTAGAAGGAAATAAATCTAAGTCTCCATCATGACTGTTTCCAAGATTATGATAATCCTAGGCTAAAGCAAAAATCTTCTAAGAGAATGTGACTAGCTCTGTCAACACCATGATCTATTGTGTTATCATTGCAAACATGATGTTTTGCAAGTTGCTAAAGAAATGTTTAAGGATATATTTCTATTACTTAATTGGAGAAAAAAGCATTCTAATCATAGAATCACTAAATAATAGAAGGAAAAGAGAAAGTAATTCTGTATTTTCCAAGTAACCTAACCCTGAAATAAACATATTTAAGTTGAACTGAGAAGATTTTTTATAAAAATATTATATGCTGTGATTCTACAAAGTTATGAAGTTGGCATCAATCATCATACTGGCATTGTAAATTTAAGATATTTCACCATATAAAATGCAACTAATGGACAAAATAAACATGTTACATGTGTTATCAAAACACAATTTCTGAATTCACATTTCTTTCAAAATGAGGAATGCTGTCTTGCTATCAGTCTTCTCATGGCTTCTTTTACCTCCTTGTTTCTCAGACTGTAGATAAGGGGGTTTAACATAGGGATAACAACTGTGTAGAACACAGACACCACTTTAATATGATCAGGTGAGTGGTTTGACTTTGGTAGAACATAAACAAATGTAACTGTGCCATAAAACAAAGTGACTGCAGTGAGGTGAGAGGTACAGGTAGAGAAGGCCTTGTGTCTTCCCTCCGTAGAGGGCATCTTCAGTATTGAGTGGAGGATGTATAAATAGGAAACAATGATGGTAAACAGTGTGACTACAATGATCAAGCCAGCTGAGATGGCAGGTGATATTTCAGAAACATAAATATGGGTACAAGAAAGCTTCACTAGGGGTGGGAGGTCACAGAAGAAATGGTTAATTTCATTTGGGCCACAGAATGTCAGGCTCAATAAGCAGCTGGTAAACGATGAAGCATTCAGGACGCCACCCAGATAGGAAGCAACCAACAGCATGAGGCAGACTCTGGGGGACATGTGTGTGGAGTAGAGAAGTGGAGAGCAGATGGCCACATAGCGGTCATAAGCCATGGAAGCCAGCAGGAAGCACTCAGCTGTTCCAAAGGTGACATCAGAGCCAAGCTGGGCTATGCATCCAGTAACAGAGATGACTGTTCTCTCCCTTAGGAAACTCAGAATCATGACAGGTGTGACTGATGTGGAATAGCCAATGTCCACAAAGGCCAAATGGCTGAGGAAGAGGTACATTGGGGTGTGAAGCTGAGGGCTGCTTCGGATTAACATGATGATGCTGGTATTGCCGAGTACAGTAACAACATAGATTGCTAGAAAAACCACAAAGAAGATAGAACACAGTGTAGGATCCTCTGTTAACCCCAAAATAATGAATTCTGTCACTATTGTGTGGTTTCCAGTCTCCATTTGTTTTTGAATGGTACCTATTAAAATAAAAACGTGTGGATATTAGAATCAACTGAATGATCTGATGAATAATAACTACAAAATCAGCCTATTAATAAAAGCAAATGTAGATCTTTAGGTTTAATGTTTACACTTTACCAAATATTTTCACACATGCTACATTATGTATGACTTGATCACATTAAAATCCACATCTTTAAACACCAGATATTCACAAATTGACCAATGACTCATATCAGGATATCTTTGCACTCATTTTGCATCATTTCATCAACCAGATTATTGAATGAACATTTGTAGCAATTATATTTTTGTGTACCGAATGAGAACCAGGAGGTGAAAGTGATAGATCTAATGCTAGAGTCTGGCAATATCCAAGTTGCCCCTACTTCATCACATTGGAGGCCATAGATCTGTCACTTTGCTGTTAGGTGACACTCTGAGCTCAATCCAGTGGGATGTCACAGGAAATAAACTTTTCTTCAGGACCAAATTAAATTAACTAAAGGCAACTCTTTTCTTCTTCCAGAGTGATGCATTTTACATAGTACAACTATAATAATCTCTCTCATCAGCCTGGGTTTTAAAAGAATGTGGGGAGGAAAGAATATACTGAAAGATGCAGGAAGTGAGAAATAAAATCTATAATGTGTTATACACTGAACTTCCAAGGCTAACAGAAGCATAATAACACTTAACTTACTTAATATAATTACAGAGTATCACTAAATGGGAACCACATGGAAAATTTAATCCTAAGGAGTAAATCCACTATGTATTGCTATTTTAGCATTAGTAACTGCAGACACATAACAAAAGAATATGATTCAGGGCCACATCAAGCACATACATGCAGTCAAAACTAATGCACAAGAAACTAAACACCAGAAATAAGAATTAACATGGATAATGAATGAATAATTGAGCTCTGAGATTCCAGATGGCAAGACTATCTAAAATAGAACATAAAGCATTTATATTTGGAGAAATAAAATATATTAAAATAAGAGGAAGGATCAAGATCCTACATTCCAGAAAGTCAATATTATTTTGTAGATGAAAGAGAACTACCAGAAATTTAAAAATCTATTTTCATTTAAAACTCAATGAATTGCTTAAGTAGAAGAATAGAAAGAGTGTAAAAAAAGTAATCCATATTTGGAAATAAGTATGAAGACGCTAAAGAAAACAAAATCAAAATAAACAAACATAAAAGATACAAAAAGATAGAATATTGAAAGAGAGGATCCATCGTTACATGCTTGATGAGTTGTGGAAGTAAAAACACAGAAAGAAAGAAGAAAGGGTAGTTAGAAAAATACATGATGATAGAGAATTTTTGAGAACAGTTTTTTAAAATGAACCCTTGTAATCAGCAAGCACAAATGACAGTAAGTAAATGAAAAGATGTCCTCCTATAATAAAACTGAGTATCAAAGGCAAAGAAAAAAAAACTAATTAGTCAATAAATGAAAAGTAGCTATGAAGATATCACAATTAGATTAACAAACTTTCCTTAAGTAGTAATGACAGTTTAGAAGACACTAAAGTAATGATTTTTTTTTTAAGATTTATTTTTATTATTTTGTTATTGGAAAGGCGGATATACAGAGAGGAGAGACAGAGAGGAAGATCTTCCGTCCGATGATTCACTCCCTAAGTGAGCGCAAAGGGCCGATCCTATGCCGATCCAAAGCCAGGAGCCTCTTCCGGGTCTCCCATGCGGGAGCAGGGTCCCAAAGCCTTGGGCCATCCTCGACTGGCCACAGGCAGGGAGCTGGAAGGGAAGCGGGGCCGCCGGGATTAGAACCGGCGCCACAGGCAGGGAGCTGGAAGGGAAGCGGGGCCGCCGGGATTAGAACCGGCGCCCATATGGGATCCCGGGGCGTGCAAGGTGAGGACCTTTAACCACCTGCGCCACCGTGCCGGGCCCTAAAGTAATGATTTTAAAGGCTTGAGGGGGGGAAATAAAGGTCTTGCAAAAATTATCAAGATAACTTGATGAAGAAACACAGTGATCCAGATATCTGTCAATTTTACTTTAATTACCCAGACATTACATGAAGATAACAAACCACTGAATACAAAATTTACTACAAATACACATGACCTTTTCGAGACTTAATTTCTTACTTTAAACATTAAGAAAACAATTTCTATTCCATATGGTAACTGTTTTAAATAAGGTAATGTAGAAACATCTAGCCATGAATTGCAACTAACTAGTAATTCATAAATGAAAATCTACTTCAAATAAGTAACTAGCTGTCCCACAACAAAGAATAAATGTTACCTGCTGGTCAAATATTAGTACAGACTAGGGAATCATCTCTGTAGAGCATACATAAGTATGAAGGATTTAGGACCATTTATACCATATGTACCTCGGCATCAAGTTTTATACAGGTTATTCAGCATCTTTTTTTTTTTTTTCCTTATCAGCATCTTAATGCAAATCCAGTGGGAGAAAATCCAGTGAGACTGACAAAACTTACATATTCATACATTTGCACTGGCTGAGACACTATAACAAATCCCGGGGGCTTTGGTTATTTTCTTCATTATTATGTACTACTATGATCGCATAAATCTAGTTAGTTGTTAAGTTTTCTTTGGATTAATGCAATTAACATGGACAATGTTGTCATTATTTGTGCCATTTCTGAGAAGTGGCCACAAACAAGTGTTTGGAATTATGTTCTTGACAGCTGTACCATCGTTTGCATTTAGTCACAGTGATATCTTAGGGAGCCGCAAGATTGTTCCCTGTGTCAAAGTGACTCATATTTTATTTCAGTTTTGGCATTTCCCACTTATCATATAGATGCTTCTTCCCAAATCCTGAACTCTTCAGTTAGAAAGAGGCCATGTTATGGATAGACTTCTTCCTTTCTCAGCTCCAGTCCACTTTCTCCAAATGCTCTCTTTTGGAAAGCAAAGAATCTCTTCCTTGTTTCTAATTTCTGTGGTTGTTTTTGTTTGTTTGTTTTTTGTTTTTGCAGTGATGTTCCTACTTGTATTTTTTTGAAATTTCTTTTTAACCTCAGAAATATTTTTAGATAATTTTCCTGCCAAGTATATATTAATTTACTTTGTAATAAAGTTTGGAATCATATGATTCCAAAACATTAATTTAGCATAATTTTAAAATAATACCATTACTGATGTTTCATTAACCAGTATTTATCTTTAATTTACATGAAAATCAAAGCAAAAGACTTAGTACTTCAACAAAGTTTAGCAAACAAATAACAAAAATACTTTGGTGGGGGCTCAGCATGGTAGCCTAGCAGCTGAAGTCCTCACCTTGAAGGTGCCAGGATTCAATATGAGTGCCAGTTCAAATCCTGGTGGCCCTACTTCCATTCCAGCTCCCTGCTTGCGGCCTGGGAAAGCAGTCAAGGATGGCCCAAAGCCTCGGGACCCTGCACGTATGTGGGAGACCAAGAAGAGGCTCCTGACTACTGGCTTTGGATTGGCTCAGCTCTGGCCATTGCAATCACTTGGGGAGTGAACCATTGGACAGAAGATCTTCCTCTGTCTCTCCTCCTTGCTGTATATTTGACTTTCCAATGAAATAAAAATAAAAGTATATATAAAGAATACTTCGGTGAGAATACAGACAAAAGCTTTTTTCTTTTTTCTTTTTTAGTTTTCATTTGAAAGGCAGAACTACAGATCTACAGAGAAAAAGACAGAAAAAGATCTTCCATCCACTGGTTCAAATTACCACAATTAGAGCTCAGTTGATCCAAAGACAGGAGCCAGTACCTTCTTTCAGGTCTTCCATGTGGGTACACGGGTCCAAGGATTTGAGTCACATCTGCTGCTTTCCCATGCTATAAGCAAGGAGTTGGATTGGAAGTGAAGCAGCTAGGACATGAACCAGTGCCCATGTAGGATGCTGGCAAAATTAGCCTGTTGAGCCACCACGCTGGCCCTTTAATATAATATTGACAAAGGTATAAAACAAAATTTACAAAACTGGCTTTGCATCTGCTACTCTGCTTCTCACCCAGCTCCCTGTTGATGCATGCGCCTGGGAGAGCAGCAGCAGCTGGACCGAGTGCTTGAACCTCTGCCACCAACATTGGAGAGAAAGACAAAGCTCCTGACTTCTGGCTTTGGCCTGATTCAGCCATTATCATTTTGGCCATTTGGAAAGTAAATCAGAAGACAGATGGAAAATCTATTTCTCTCTGCTTTCCTTCTCTCTGAGTATGCTCTAAAAATGAAGCCACAAAATTTCTGAATCCTTCTATAATACAAAAACAACTTATTCCACCTCACCCCCAACACACACACACCACTTGAACCATGTATTATTTGGGTATGAAAGTCTATGCACATAATTTTCACCACCTTACAACTTAGCAGATTTGCTCCCTTATCTCTCAGCATCCTGCACCACTGAAATATCTGAGGTTAATATGCTATTTCTGTATAAACTATAGCTGTTTATGGAAACTTTCAGAATTTTCCCTACAATCCTTGTTTTTACAAATTATATTATAGTATCTTTTGAGTACTGTTTTCTGGTCATTCTTATTTGATGCCAAAGACTCTCTCCCTCAAGTTCTCCGTCTCTGGTCAGTACTACAATCTTTTCTTTAATTGTGTCATTCAGTATTACTTCTTTCATTCTCATCTGGAGGACTCCTAACAGGAGTTTCTGGGGGCAGATTCTGCTGCTTTGCTTATGAGTTCATTAACAGAATGTTTGTTTCTTTAATTCAACATAAATTTTTACTGCCCAATGTTTGTGGCTGGTTTATTTGTGCAACATTTTCTCTTACATTTCTGAGTACATTAATTATACTTGCTGTACAGAGTTTATTCTGATTACTCTGCACTTCTGCATCTTCAGCAACTGGATCTCCTGCTGGTTACATTTGGTATCTCTCTGGTGCTGGGTGTTTCCCAAGGATTAACTGTTTCACCTTTGCTCAGCTTTGTACTTCTGATGACTTATTAGTCTTTTTTGAATGCGATAAACATTT